CATTGTACAGTGGCATTAAGTGCCGAAATGTGCACCTCTGCCTACCCCTTCGGGGATAAAAAGGCGTGATGTTGTTATGTTATGTTGGTTACCTTCTCCATTCTAACACATAATTTTATATTGTTAACAGTTACTTCAATCCGCTGGTGGAAGAGAACGAGGAGCAGCGTTGTGCTGTGGAGCGTATAGTGGCGGGGACGTCCGGCACCGCGCCCTACTTGGTGCACGGCCCGCCCGGGACTGGCAAAACTATTACCATCGTCGAGGCTGTGTTGCAGGTAATATTCAACGGTTATTTAAACTTTGTACTATTAATATAATTATTATTGTTTATTTTACGGGACAAAGAAAACATTAAATAATTCGATTTCAGATGTTTTTTAAGTGAATTTCCTAAGACAAAATTTTTCATCATTACATAAAAGTATCTATTTAAATATTGTAATCACACGGCAATTGGTTGATTTGATAATATTTTTCGAATCAATTTAAGAGCCGAGGACATGATAAAAAGGTGAACATAGTCACCTGAAACAACGACTGTGCCGCCTTGCTACTATAGACTTACACGTAGAATACACACACATTGACACGAAGGACATCTGTTGCTTGACATGGCCCGTTATTATACTTCATATATTACGGTGTTGCAAGTACACGCACACATAAATACACCACTGACATTTTGGTGCTTCAATCATTTCTAAGTAACATTACGCCGGCCTTTTTTCAACGTACTTGTTACAATAACTTAAGAAATTCAATATCGTTTCAAGCTGGAAACTACCATAATATTCTCTTCGATGTAAATTAGATTGGTAAATAAAATTGTACTAAAATAATATACTAATACTAGTCAATATTTTTCAGTTGGCAATCCGACCTGCGAAAACCCGCATACTGATATGCACGGACTCCAATATGGCGGCGGACCATGTGGCGTGCATGCTGATCAAATACAAACACATGTTCCCGAAGGACAAGTGGTTGCTTCGAGCTAACTCTAAGTTTAGGAACTGGTTAGTACCTATACCTATCTAATCTTCTTTACACTGATGAATCCTAAAATTGTGAATAGTTTGAAATTGCAGTAGAACACTTTAGGTGTTAGGTCAATTTTCCTACTTTAAACTTTATCTTTATTGGCTTTACAATTTTTGACAGTTTATTTTTAAACGCCTTAACTAATATTTCCATTGACTAAGTAATATTAATATTATAAATACAAAAAACTAAAATATTTACTACTTTAAAAAAATAAATAAAAATGTTACCTTAGATGATAAAATTTTCCTCGTACAATTACTTTAAACTACTCAAATAAATTAATAATTACATCGCTGAGGACTACCATGAGTGAGTTTACCCTCCTGGCGGTATTTGCTTATATATTGTATATATATTAGTTCTATAAAGAACTAACAGCCAAACAAAAAAGCATCTTAAATTATAAGAATTAAGTTACATTATGCTTTCTTCCAGGGACACATTGCCGGAATGCTTGTACAAATTCTCCAATGGGATAAATCGTCAACGTTTCGTGAACGTCAGCTTAGACGATTTTATAAAGTACACTATTGTCATCACAACACTATCCCATGCAGCCAAGTTTGGAAGGTAATACTTAATGTACTAGTTTTTACCAGCAGCTTTGCTCAAGTGCTATTTGCCCATATAACCAGTAAGAAAGAAAGAAAAACTCTATGTAAATGTCCAATGTTTCTTTCATACAAATATTGTCGTAACAATAACAAACCTGACTGCACGGTTGGCGCGGTGGTTGGGCAACTGACTGCCGCGCAACGTGCCGCGGGTTCGATTCCCGCACGGAACAACTCTTTGTGTAGATCCATAGATTGTTGTTCCGGGTCTGGGTGTCATGTGTATGTGAACTTGTATGTTTGTAAACACACCCACGATACAGGAGAAAATTCTAGGGCCAATGTTTTTTTTTAAATCCAACAATAAATTCATGAAATCGGTTCAGCTGCAGCTCGAGATTTGCGCGTAGCAACACATTCATTTTTATATTACAGATTAATCCACAATAGTAGTACGTAGTTTCCTCAGTCGAAAATAAATTATTTCGACTGTCCAATAGGAAACTAAAATATATATATAAAAAAATATACTTTCATTAATTGGTTGGTTCATCAATTGGTGACGACATTGTTATCGATACTTTCTAGTTAATTTTCTATATCTATATTATAATTCAAATGAGTACCTATGCCATTTTACGCAAAGGTATAATGACGTCATTCACTATATCCACGTCAGTCACTCAAAGAGAGTACAAATCAAAGTATTTGAGTAGTTGTTGAATATATGTATACTGTACTGGCTTCTGCCATCGGTTTCGCTCGTGTTGATGTGGGATAAAAAATAGCCTATTTGCTATTCCAGTCCATAATCTACCCCTGTCCCAGCCGTTTTGACGTGATTCAGTAAGACAATAAATATGAGACACACAACCCAAACTCAATTTCGGATTTGTATATTAGTAACAACTTAACTGTCGCTATACAATAAGATTTACAATTACCCCACGTCCATTGTTTTTTTTAAATGTCACGTTTTTTTGCTATATGTCCACGTAATTTTTATTAGAATTTGTTGCCACGCTCATAGCAAAAACACACCCCAAACTTGTACCAAAAATGAGTCACCTATACCAAAAATGAGTCATGAACTTATTACAAAAGTTCATCTTGAGTCGTATGTGACTCTTTGGACAGTTCAGTTGGTAAGATTACAATCACATCCATTGTTTACAGACACATGTTTCATCGCCGTATGGGCAATCATGTCTCCCATCTATTCATCGACGAGGCCGCCCAGGCCAGTGAGCCAGCCAGCCTGATCCCAGTCTGTGCTCTACTGAAGCAATCTGGCACCCTAGTCCTGGCTGGAGACCCACACCAACTCGGTCCCGTCGTCATATCCAGGACCGCTGCGAGAATTGGACTTGGTATGTATATTTTATGCAGGTAGTTTAAATGTGGAATGGTATGTTGAACCTTATTGGTAGAATGTAAAGTTGATTTTCGTTAAAGAGTTGGGGAGATCTGCTGATTTTTGTTGTTTTTTCATGCTATCAAATTCAAGACAATTATGCACTTTTACATTTTTTTGACTTAGTGCCTAATATTGTTGATATTTTTGTTGAATTAAGTTTTCTCAGTGAGATTTCTCTCACGCAGAGTTTCTTTTTGTCGCCATATTGTTGGCATACATGGGACTCATAACATAAATAGTGAAAAGTGGGTGTTACATTGTACAGTGGTATTAACTCGTCGAGTACCGGTTTTGTAGACACAATTATAGAACAATAGGTTGCGGTCACCGGTGACCGCTTGGTGTTTGACAGTTTAAGTGCCGTAATGTGCACTTCTGCCTACCCCTTCAGGGATAAAACTCGTGATGGTATTATGATGACAGAGTTGTCATACAGGTTGCTTGAAAAAAATATCAATAAATAATAAATTTATTGAACCAAGAAAAAGTTTACACAGTTTTGTTTTATTTGTATTGTAACTTTCGTGATTCGTGAGACACATTATTATGTTTTCGGCTTACTCACGTAGTAATTTGACGAGGAACTCGACTAGTTTCAAGCCATGCTAGAGGCTCATACTCAGTACAGTGACCAGTAGCAGCGCGACAGTCGCCGCGTCGCGGGTCCTGAAATGCTGCTCATGAATATGAGCCTCTAGTCGAGTTCCTCGTCAAATTACTACGTGAGTAAGCCGAAAACATAATAATTTATTTAGTTTTGTTTTACATAATGCCTATCATATTTAATAACTTACACAATATTTTAAACCTATAGGGTACCTACTCAAACATAGCACATATCTTCCAGGGTATACTTAATAAACAATTTATTGTTACCACAGGAACATCTCTGATGGAGCGTCTGATGAAGACCAATGACTTGTACTCTGATGACGAAAAGAAACCCGATTACGTTGTAATGTTGCGAGACAATTTCCGATCGCACCCTGATATTTTGGAAATTCCTGACAAACTCTTCTATAAGGGACAACTTCGGGTATGTTACATGTACACATGTTTTTATAGATGTTATATTATAGATTTTTTAAGAATAAAGATGAAATAATAGATGATAAAAGAATAAAGAGAGACTGATGACGGTGATGATGGGATAAAATAAATGTAGAGGTCGCTTATTGACAGGCATGTGCTGAGAAAGATCCCTTGAGTACCATCGATGTCCTGGGTGAAAAGGAGACCAGTCGCGCCATCGTGTTCCATGGAGTGCTATCCAAGGAAGAGAAGATGGGCAAGTCACCGAGGTATGTTAAACTTTAAAATTTTTAACACATATTTTGCTTATTTTTTCTTGTAAACTATCAAGTAGTGTCTGGCTGCGTAAAAGTAGACCTTATTTCCTCGAAGTCTTAGGCGACTTTTATCAAAACAACGCCGATACAGGTGTAATTTTTGCCGGACGATGCCGGAACGCGGATCCACGCGACACAAAAATATTTTGAGGAACGAAAGCTATAGGCTCACCCCCTATTACATGGGTGGGACTCATAACATAAATAGTGAAAAGTGGGTGTTACATTATACTTACAGTGACATGAAGTACCATAATGTGCACTTCTGCCTACCGGTTCAGAGATAAAAGGCGTGATGTTTAAAAGCCTTATCAAAGTATAAGCCATATAAAAACTAGTTACCCCCACCCGATTTCACCTGCTCTGCTCGGCTCCTGTTCATAGTAGTCTGATACTCTATAGCCTTCCTCGGTAAATGGACTAAGCAAAACAAAAAAGAATTTCAAATTGAACCAGTAGTAACCTAAGATTAGCGCATTCAAACAAAGTCCACACCAACAAGTGTGGGAGAGCCATGCTCCGGCATGAATGGGCCGGCTCGACCGGAGTGATACCACGGCCGAGCAGAAGACCGTTACCGAGGTTACCGGCCCAATTACCCCCTTTAGCCAATCCCTGAATCCCCAACAATCCTCAAATTCCTAATCCCAAAAGGCCGGTACCGCACTTGTAACACCTCTAGTGTTCCAGTTGTCCATGGGCGACGCCGATTGCTGCTCGTTTACCGGCTTATGCCATAAAAAACAAAGTCTTCAGCTTTATATTAACGATAACATAATAGTAATTACCAAAATAATACGATTATTATCAATTTTTCCAGCTACTTCAACATGATGGAATGCGAGATGGTGCAGCAATACGTAAAACGTTTGGTGCAAGTACACAATGTATCTGCGTGTGATATTGGCGTCGTCACTCCGTACATACGTCAGGTGAGATATAGAATGCATTATAACTTGAAATTCTTCAAATCATTATCTTGAAACTTAAGAAAGAACATAGTCAGTAAATGAGTGAATCATTATAATGAAAATAGCTACTTCCACGCGCCTATTAATCGTAGTGTGATGTTTTATAGCTTGAACTTACAAACTAATTAACATTATTTACTCGACAAGTTTCAAGTCAGAGCCCGCGATCATAATCAACTTGACAACCGACTCAGCAAGAGCCGCATACCTATCTAATAATTATCTCACGATAGTTACAAAACAAAAAAAATACATTTAGGTTTAGTGAAGAAATCTAGAACTTTATTTTAATATAATTTGATATTTTTCTCAGGTATACCAAATAAGGAAGTCTCTACAAGAATGTGGCATCAGGAAGATAGATGTTGGTACTGTGGAAGGTTACCAAGGCCAGGAGAAGCGCGTGGTCATAATATCCACCGTCAGAGCGAACTGCGACTTACTGGAGTATGATGCCAAGTTCCAACTCGGATTCCTTGTCGATGATAAAGTAAGAATCTATTGATAAAAAATCTCACTATTTTAATACATACAGAGCCCCCACACTAGACGACCGGTGATAGTTATTTTCTCATTTGCCGTAGTTAAATTTTCTAACACATAATTTACACAAGGTATACATGCAGACCAGAAACAACAATTTATGGATCACACAGTCGAACTCACTGCACTTTACACTACCGCCGGTCGCCCAGCCACTAGCTAATTGATCATAGAGACAAGATTATTTATATTACATGTAATTAATACATACCATATTTATTTTTCAGCGTTTCAACGTAGCCATTACCCGCGCTAAAGCCAAAGTGATCATCATTGGTAACCCGCTGTGCTTAGAGAAAGACGTCAAATGGCGTATGTACATGGATCGCTGCCGTGAACTGGGAACATACCATGGTTTCGACTCCAAACACATCATGTCTAATGGCAGTGGCCAGCAAATTGTAAATAAACTAGCACCTCTGCTAAAAGGCATGTCAATTAGCGTCAGAAAGCCAAAGAAGTAATTATTTTTTTGAACTCATGTAGTGCCGTATTAAGCTAGGAGTCGTAATATTTAAATTGCGTTATTATTTTTTTGAAATGTCGACTAAGTTTTTCGATGATTTTGTATACGAGAAGTTAATGTCATTTTTATTCTACGTCAAGTAGCAACAAAAAGGAATTAAATCAATTAATGGAATTTTATTATTATTTTAAAATTTTTATGGATTTATAATTTGAAAACACATTCCTCTTGCTACGAGCTCTACGCGAAAATTTAACACAAGTTGGTGCTACGCTTCTAATAGGTGCTTTGCCTGCCCTTTCATAGGGATATAAAAATTAAATAGAAGGGCATAAGGTACAATTTTCTACAGGCCCTGTGCACATTTAATCTAGCACTAGATTACTCTCCGTATATACGTGGCGTTGCTCAAACGAGAGACTTGTGTATGTTTCTAAATGCATTTGTTTTAATGAAATTCCTTGACAAATAATCACCAACCCGCCTATCAGTTGTGGTGATAATTTTTTTTATATAATTTTTGACGGATGAGAGCTTTTATATACAATAATGAATTATATAAGTAGTTTTCTACACCGTATTATATCAATGTATTTTACACCATAGTTTTAGAGTTTTGATACAATTATGGCGTGTGGCAACATTACACTTATTTTTAAGCATTTTTGAGGTCTGTGTTGTCGTCTATTACAATTTCTATTTATTTTTTACATCCGCTGCCTCCGAATTACTCATTTCACCTTTATATTCGTAATTTTTTAAAAGTATGCGTGCATGCCTAGTTAATCCCTATTAAGTGGGTATGTGTGGTGGGAAGGTGTCCCAGAAAAAATAAATACTGTTTCTGTTTTCTGTTCGTAAAATAATTAGTGTAAAACATTGTTATGTGTATTGTATTGTACTACAATGAATTTGATCTCGTATTTCAAAAAAGTGCCATTTATTTGTTATTTGATGGAAAAATATGTGATAAGGTAAGGTTAACATAAAAAAGGGTAGTGTTTGCATTTTTTAGGCGTATTTGTATGTATGACGCCTTGGATAATACGTAAAAACATTTTACGTTTTTGTAAAGCTTAGTATAGTATAATGTGATTGGGTAACTTACCGTCAAAAAATTTAACTGTGATTGGTTTAAAGTTATATGGTAAAAGTGTGCCAAAATTTCGATTAAAAGTTCATAGAACTATGGGTTTTCGGTAAATGTTGACTAGTAGTCTAAATAAGGGTTTTCTAATATCGATAAGGTGTAAAATAGGTTGCAGCGGATGTTAATTTAGTAGTTTGAGGCCTTAGTACGAGTTTGTTTTGCGTGTAAAGTAATCGAAACAAGACCGCGTTCGGCGCATTGATTGGTTGGTTTCTTGAACTGGCCAATCAGAGTACCATCGAATTCGTACTCGTTTCGATTAGTTTAAACATAAAACAATTCATACTAGGCCCTCTGTATAATTTTATTTACGTGACGTCTAAATAACTCATTGCTTTACACTTGGACCACTTATTACAATATAGTATCTATTACACAGTTCGCCTACTAGCAAGTTTTCCCGCCAACCACGTAGGTTAAAATGACTTTATTCTAATCAATTAAGATTTAAGAATCAATTAATTTTTTAACTAAGTCCTAGAATGCCTTTTTAACCGACTAAATAGACATGTTTAATAAATAATATTGACCCCACATAAAAGGACTGTTGTAAAGTTTATAAAGATTTCACATTAGCTATACAGGGTGTAAACAGAACGCTTTAAAATGCAGAAAAAAAAGTTTTTATAATTTTAATCGTTTTTGTTTTCGTGTTTTTTTCATTCAAAATCAGCCTTGTGCAGCCTAGTTGCATAAAAGAAAAAAATAATTTTCATTCCTTACTTTTTTGAAAATTAATTCTCATTTTTTTCATCACCTGCCTTCATTTTTTGGCAGTGTTCTCCTTACATCCTGTATATTATTAGAATTATATTCATAATCCATAAAGTTCATACCCTATAATTAAATTATAAGTTTATTTTCATACGAACTAATAATGAATAATATTTTTATAAATCGATTTTTTACTAAATACACCTAATGGATTATTTTCATGGAATCATTGACAAGTAGGTATATTTTTTTTTTACCTACATGTCATCAGTAGTTTGTTAGATTATAAGTATAGTACATATTTAGTTCGTATACATGTGAGATTATGTGTTAAAATAACGCACACGCCGCGTTTTGCATACACGCATATTAAGAGTAGATTTGACTACAAGATAAACGAATCTACACCAAATATTCTGCCCACATTTTGGTGTGAATTTCATAGATTTTAAAGTATTGAGTGATTTATTAGTTGGTACATAATTATTTTATTTGCTGATTATGAACCATGTACTAGATTATAAAGCAAGTTTATTGAGTGTAACATGGTCACAGCAACTAAAATAAATGTGAACATATTATTATATAATTATCGATATTTTGTCGTTCTATTCATGAGTACAGGGACAAAATCGACATTATACTTGTAAGAAGGCCAAGATTTTTCCATATGTTCTCCTTAAAAAAGTTTCATAAGTTTGTTGTTGGCATTATTTATTTTACATAATTGATACTATGTAAATGAGTTTTAACAAATTGCATTAATTTTTGTGCCATATTTTTATTTGGAATAAGAATTTTGTTAAAAATATTTTATTACCTATAATCATTTAAAAACGTATGGAGAGTCAATTAGTGAAAATATCTTGGTGCTAAATTTATAAGACTTGGAATAAATGTCTATACACAGATCAGTAGAAAATATACACGTAATAAAAATAATCCTGCGATTTTATTTTACCCTTAACACACAAGATATACCTCGTAAAATGTTCAATGAGTGGTGCCATCTACATACTCGATGTGGATCTACTAGGAAGCAATTAAGCTTCACCGGAAGAACACGGTAGATTATTATTACTCCACCAAAAAGCAAATCATACATCATCATACTTCATTTTTTTTAAAGACAGACAATATCTTGATCTTCTTCCATCTCCCATGATAGCTTATTGTTCCTTGATTATTATAAAATACTGTGTAATATTCCACATTTTCATCATAATTACCTTATTTTCTTTTAGCCAGATAATCTTTTAAAAACTACTTTTAAACAACCGACTTCCACTCCCTCTTTTTTTTGAAGTCGCTTAAATAATCCTAAGTTAGTAAACCTTCTCCTAAATGTAACAAACACTTTTCTAAAAATTCATCATGCATCATAATCGGTTCAGCCAATCGCAAACTAATCGAGCACAAACATATATACAGGTTAAACTGAGACGCTACATTTTAACCGACTTCAAAAAAGGAGGAGGTTTTCAATTAGACTTTTTTTTTATGTTTGTTACTCGATTACTCGAAACGCCTGGACTGATTTCAAAAATTATTTTTTTATTTGAATGGGTACGCTTGTTATTTGGTCCCATTGTCATCAAGTCAGGATCTGATGATGGAATCCCAGGGGAACCGAAGGGAACTTTAAAAAATATATATTTCCCTCGACTGCCTCTCGGCTCCATCATCAGATCAACTCCAGACCTTTATCAGATTGTTGTGGTTTTAAATGCTTACTGAAAAAATTAACAAATGGGCTAGTCGCCCCTATAACTTTTGAAACTGGAATTCCATCATAATGATGATCCTGACTTCATGACAATGGGACGAAATGATCGCATCATAATCGGCACAAACATATAACCATATAACCTACAGGTTAAACTGAGACCCTCCATTATTTTGAAGTCTGTTAAAAAGAAGCACACCATTAGACCCGGACCCGTATTGGATTATTTTTGTTACCTTTTACGAATTTTATGACGAACATGCTTCTGTCAATTTCACAAATGTCAAGTGTCAAATGTCACTGTCACATTGTTTCAAAATCGATCACTCAAAAATTCATCAGTAATTTCGCGATTGGGATGCAAGTAGGTCGTGTGCAGTTCCGTAATAAATTGATTTGATAAAATAAACAAGTTTGTGCTAAAAAAATTTAATGAATGAACTCAAAGAACAATTGGAATCGTATGTATAGAATTTAAACAGTTGCGATATTCGTAACCTCTAAGCAAGGTGCAAACAGACTAACACATAACTTGTGTTAGTTTGTTTACCATGGCAAACATTGAGCCAATGAGTATACGGGTAGGATATGCTGACATCCTGGAGCCTAGGAGGAAGCCGGGAGGCATTGTTGGATTTATGACTCGGAATTGGTATCCGCAACAAACTATGACTTTGGACAAGAAGTACTCACCAGAGGATCTCAAAAATATGGTTGCTAACTCTTTGTACATGGACTCGATTTTGGAATCGGTAAGAATTTTTAAATATATTTTTATTCATCCTTTCCTTGATAATTAAATCTGAACCAAGAATATAAGCAAGACTTGGAGATTACTTCCTAAATCCTAAGATATAACATAAATTCTCTGGTATCCCAACATTTAAATGTTGGGTAAATATCTAGTATTTTTTTAAATAGTACAATGCATCTGTACAGGCTATTCGAATTACAGTTTTTGAAAATTATACATCAGTCTTATACATAATAAATATGTACCTAAATAATATATTAAAGTTTAGATATTCCATGGTCTCTTAAATAGCTACTGCTACTATAGCTATATTGCATTTGCGAAAACAAATGAAATATAAAGTAATTTAATTACTATACTGATCTTTTTAAGTGTAAACAAACATTAGATGTAAAAGTAAAACCATGGCCCAAAAGTAATGTTTGTGTATATTTAAAAAATATTTTCTGATTAAATAAGAGCTTACACATGTATTGCTGAAATTTCTCATTCATGAAAATTTGACAAACAACAAAAAAGGAGTAACAAACAGATGCATGATGACATAGCAATTGTATGTAGTCATTACTAAGTTATGATTTGGTAGGAAATAAAGATGGTATTTCAATATTCTTTTCTTCCCCTCCCACATTTCCTGCTAAGCCTTAATTATTAATATTGTAAATGCGAAAGTGTGTTTGTCCGTCTTGCTAAGCCCAATTGAAAGAAACAATTTTATGAATTATTGTGTTGGGAGGAGGCTGAAGAGTGATATGGGTTACATTTTACGCATTTAACTATCACATAATATCACTCCTTTCGTCCCCAAAGGGGTAGGAGAGAGGTGCTTGTTATTGCACTACAAATTAACACCCACTTTTCACTATTTATGTTATGAGTTCCATGTAATAGCGGGTGAGCCTATTGCCATATACCGGGCACAATTATTCTAGACTCCATGCTACTACTAAGATTTAATCTGACCGGAATCTAACCCACAACCTGTTGTCTAGCAGTTACACTTGTGACCAACAAGGCAGTCATTTATCACAGTACATCTAAAAGTAAAGATAAACAGATGTTTTGTTACTCAGTTAACAATTCAAGAATAACTGAATGAATCTAGTCAAAGGAATAGATAATAGTCTGAAAAAAACAAAAGCCATCTTTCATTATTCTGATTTTTACACTTCTGAAGTTAAATTGTATACCACTATCCTCTATCAGCGCGTTCTGCATAGATTTATATTGAGAAACCGATGAGTTACGATAAAAAAATATTTAAAACTTCTCTACTTCTTCTTTTCATTTAGATTTGTTCAAGAACTGGTGCCACTAAAGAAGAGCTGCAGAAGCAAGTACACAATTTCTTGGAAGAAATGGGCCTTGATAAGAAAGTCCATGTGATTAGGTGGATGGGGGTGCTCTTCCTCAAGATCTGCTTCATGATGAAAATCAAGATGTATGTCAATGAAGCTGCTGTATTTAAGGTATGTGTTAAAGTTTTAATAATTCTTTTCTTATAAAACTTACATACACGAATGTTATTATTATTATTTATTATTTATTTCTTCTTCACAAAATACATCAGTGAATGGCGGACTTAATGCCTTAAGGCATTCTCTTACAGTCAACCATAGGGAAGTGCATAGAAATGAAGTGGTTGATGCGAAGCCAGAACACAATTGAAAAAATAAAAAAAAAGTTATGTAATATGTATACTACACACATAAATAACCTATAGAATAAATATATTAATACAATATTTTATAAATCAGCATAATGTTACCTTAATTCTACTGGAGTCTCTTTTGCACAGTCATAGGAGCTTTTTGAGACTTGCTATTATATCAGTCTTATAAGTATTGCGATTTAGTTTTATATATATTTAGCAGCCTTTGTAGAATACAGATATATATGTAAAAATGAAAACAATTTTCACGGTGCGTTTTACGCCGTGGTTGCGATTGTTTGCGGCTCTAGCTGCACCAGCGGGCGCGGCCGCGTGTTCTGCGATCGGTTGGCGGGCGATTGTAATGGGACGGCCCGTCTGGAACGCAACTGATTGTTTAACCGCTCGCCCGTTTGCGATAATCAATCGCTAAGTTTGCGGGTGATAATCGCATCCGCGGCAGCTGCGGGAGCGCGTAAAACTGCGGTCTCGTGAGTTTTGAAAATTCCACCTCCATTCCGCCACCGTGGCGCGGCGCTCGAGAAGATCGCGCCCTGAGTCCTTAGCCTTAATGTACTTTAAAGCTTATTGACCTCAAATTATTTACTAACGCCCCATGTATGGTTGTAGCTGAAGTCGATAATGGGCAACAATCCAGTCCTGTTCCTGCCCACCCACAGGAGTTACGCAGATTTCTGCCTGATGACCTATCTGTGTTACCACTTCAACATCGATTTCCCAGCCGTGGCTGCTGGCATGGGTATGTAATTCTTTATTTATAGGTTAATAATATGATCACGACTTTTATCACCGAAGGTGTAGGCAGACGTGCACATTACGGCACTTAATGACACTTTTCATTATTTGTGTCATAAGTCCCATGTAATAGGGGGTGAGTGAGCCTATTGCCGTATACCGGGCACAGTACCAGACTCCATTGTACTACTCAGATTTTTTTAAAACTTCAGCAGTACTTTGCCCGACTCTTGAATCGAATCCGAGACTTATAGTCCGGCAGTCGCACTTGTGACCACTCGGCCAACGAGGTAGCTATTATTAAAATCATTGTTATATGTATTGTCATTAACGGATTTATTGGATGCTAATACCGACGTGCAATTCGACGCAATCTGTTTCACCGCCTACCGCAGCGGTTCGCGGTGCCGTGTGTTAATTATCTCACTCTTATCCATTTTATATAAAACTTAGGTATTGATTATTTCCAATAAAGTATTACTCATCTAACTTGTATGACTAAACTGATGATATGATAAATAATATTAAAACACCTGTCACATCTGGTTTTTTCCAGATCCTATGTTTAACAAATTACAGTAATACTTATAATAGGTGTTATTTAGGAGACGACTACTGTGTTAAAGAAGTATTTGAATTGTTAAACTGTAAAAACTTTATTTTGTCCAAAAATAGGGACCACACCTTTACATTAGGACTTCATAATACGATCTTGCGACCAAGTCACACAACCAACAAGATGTATATTTGACTGCACGGGTGGTGCGGTGGCTGGGCTACCCGCTACTGTGCAGCGTACCGCGGATTCGACTCCCGCACTGAACAACACTGTGTGTGATTCACATATTGTTGTGTTGGGTTTGGGTGTCATGTGTATGTGAATCTGTATGTTTGTACCCACAACACAAGAGAAAATCTTAGTGTGGGGCAACGTTTAAAAAAAATGTAGTATGGAACATATCTCATTATGTTCATCTGGTGTGAACTTGCACAGTCGCGTAACCAAAACCTTGGTTGTTCTAGACACCATGGTTCGCGACTGGTTATGACCCAAT